AAAAAAAAAAAAAGAGAGAGAGAGAGAGAGAGAGAGAGAGAGAGAGAGAGAGAGAGAGAGAGAGAGAGAAAGAGAGAGAGAGATGGGAGGAATGGCAGGGCTGACTTCTAACAACTTTTCGATTAGACAACAATTAAAATGAGAAGAGTGTTACGGTGAACCAATCTGTATCTGAATGGAAGACTCTTCTGAAGTAAGGCAGATAAAGTACACGGAGTGTGATTGAAATCATTGGAGATTAGTGGGCATTGGTCTTTGCTCACCTTGACAGAGTAGATGGTATAGAAGAAGGGATGATAATCATCCGTTTCTCCGTTAGTACGAATGAGAAGGAGAGTCATGCGTCGGCTCTGGCTACTATCTGTGTTGTTTAATGTTAATGTAACTTGTGAGGCGGTACATAGTTGCCTAGAACAGACTAGATGATTTATGGACCTAACAGAGGGGAAATTTTGCCGAGAGTGGCCAGTTGGAGGCATAGCGTTGAGGCTTACCCGTTAAAAGTTTTTTGTTGCCCCTTGGCTGGAGAAGAAGTATGGGTTGCAGCATGTGCTTGTACTTTGATCTTTATGTATATGAGACTTTGGACCCGTTTTCCAGCACGTGCTGACCCCCATGACTAGAGAGAGTTATGAATTGATTGTAAAAACAAAAATAAAAAATCTACAAGTACTTCAATTTTCTGGTTTTTTCACGCATTCTTGTGAGCGTAAAAACTCACTGAATTTGGAGTACTTTTTTAGTTGGCCCACGCATTCCCGAGTGACAAAAATGGAAAATGTGCCGAATCGGCGCGACAAGTTTTTCGCAGTCTAAATGATTTTTTGAAAATGTTATAATATTATTCATAGAGAGAACACGACCTCATCTATGGATTTTCAAAATTTCAGATCTTTCTGGGGGTTCGTCCGAGCACAGAAAATCACCAAAGTTGCCTCTTGCAAAATGCCTGTTTTGTTGTGCCTGACCTCCATTTTTTGAGAAGACGGGCCTCAATGCCTGGGCCTGAGGGCCCTTTTGCAGTTCACATGCCCTCATTTCTTTTTGGGGTCTGCTTCTACCCGAGGGCCGGCTTGACGCCCCCACTTCTTTTAGGGGTCCACTTCCACCCGAGGACCAGTCCTTCCTTTTTCCAAAAGTCCAGGTTCTACCAGAGCTAGTTGTTCGCAGCCCTTAGGCTGCGGTATAGTGGGCTTCCGCGTTTGTGTCAAGGTGTTGCATTTTTGGCGGCGGGCGACCAGGACGCAAAGTGGGTTCTTAGGGGGCAAAAAAATTGGGGGGACCGGTCCTTGCCAAAATTTGTGGACTACCTACAACTAGCTCTGGTAGAACTGGGACTTTTGGAAAAACGAAGGACCGGTCCTCGGGTAGAAGCGGACCCCAAAAAGAAGTGAGGGCATGTGAACTGCAAAAGGGCCCTCAGGCCCAGGCGTTGAGGCCCGTTTTCTCAAAATAGGGAGGTCAGGCACAACGAAACAGGCGTTTTGCAAGAGGCACCTTTGACGATTTTCTGTGCTCGGAGGAACCCGCAGAAAAATCTGAAATTTTGAGAACCCATAGATGAGGTCGTGTTCTTTCTAGGAAAAATATTAGAACATTTACAAAAAATCATTTAGACTGCGAAATAATCGTCGCGCGGATTGGGCACATTTTTCATTTTTGCCACTCAGCCATGCCTGGGCCAACTAAAAAAGTACTCCAAATTCAGTGAGTTTCGTGCTCAGAAGAATGCGTGAAAAAACCTGAAAATTGGAGTACTCGTAGATTTTGTTGTGATCTTTCCAGGAACAACGTTACATAAATTAAAAAAAATCATTCCAACTGCGAAATAGATTGCGGCCGCAATTTGACCCATATTTCAATTTTGCCATTTAGCCTCTCTCTCTCTCTCTCTCTCTCTCTCTCTCTCTCTCTCTCTGGTAGGCCCCCCCCCTCCTCTCTCTCTATTTCTTTCTCTCTCTCACACTCATAACAATAAATGGAACAAAACTCTCTCTCTCTCTTTCTCTCTCTCTCTCTCTCTCTCTATTGTGTTAGCTCTTAGTCTCATCGATTTGGCTACCTTAGGGCTGCGTTCCCCGCGCCCACGCGGTAGACAATAGGTAGTCCGCAATTTTGGCAAGGACCGGTCCCCCTATTTTTTTGGCCCCCTAAGAACCCACTTTGCGTCCTGGTCGCCCGCTGCCAAAAATGTGACACCTTGACACAGACGCCGAGGCCCACTATACCGCAGCCTTAGGGCTGCGCATTGATGTGAGCCGGGTCCTTTTGGTCCTGTAAGAAGCGAAACTGGCTAAGGCTGCGCCAGAGGTCGAATTGTGGGGTCCCCGGCCCCCTCGTAATCTTTTCCTTGAAATACACACATACACACAGATTATCACACACAAAAAAAAGAAAAAAAAAGAAAGGGTTGAACCCTGTGGCAGCCGCTAGGCGGAGCACGGGATGGGTGGCCATTATAACGCTGCGTCCCTGCTTCCCCCACTCGCACCCACAATAACAATATTGTTAGGGACATCGGAAGGCCTTGGGCTGGTCGCAACGCACGCCCAGTACCGGGCTGCTGATGGATTTGGCTTGACACTCGATCACCTCGTTCGGCCATCGAACGGTAGACACCGACTGTTAGTCCTTCTGGATGTCGGCTTCCGATCCCGATTCCCAGCGGTGGCTGCGGTGTGCCTGGTGGCTGACATAATACGAACGAAATAATACGAAAAGGCAGAACAGTACATCTCTCAAATACGGGCGGTCCTTCCTGGCAAATTCTAGGGTTTTTCCCGATCCCTCACCCTCCTTACCCGTCTCTGTGTCGCGCACGCCCCCATACCCATACATACCCATACTCCACCTTACGATCAACAGAGGTCAAACTCGGCACAGCCTCCAGTTGTTCTTCCCACGTAATATGGCCTGGATGACGAGGAGGCGGCTGGCGGCGGGAATGGTATGGGGGGGGGCCATGTCGGCGCCGTAGAGGCTTGGGCCTGCCCGCTTGGGCTTTCCCGAGCCCGCCATGTGGTATGGGGTGGAACGACGGACTCCGCTGGTGACATGTTGTTTGTTCTATGCTACCTAGTATGATATGAATCTGGTCTTGATACTGAATATGTTCATTCATGTGTTTTCTAAGCATTATTTATATTATTAATGACCAGTTTGTTGGGGCCGGTCCCTAAGTAACAGATCACGGGGATGAGCGGCGGATTTCGGCTGGTCTGGACCCTGGCCGGTACGCGGGACGACGTGGGGCGGACCGGGCCGGCTCCGTCTTCCCCTCTGGGCCTAACTACGCTGCAAGTCTCGAAACGAGAACAGGGCGAGTGCATCGTCGCCGAGAGGGTGGCAAGATACGTGCGTTTCTTATTCTGCATCGCCCATGCATCTTCCCACCTTCTGTGTGAAGATGCGCTCGCCACTTTTACTCGTTTCGTGCGCAGTGTGGCAAGGCCTTTCTTTGTCTGATAGGCCAGGGGGAGGGGGAGGGGGAGGAAGGGTCGGTCCGACTTGCTTGTTTGTCCGAACGGCTGGTTGGGGGGACGGGTCCGATACGGCAGGGGGAAGGCTGCGGAAGGGGGCGGGGAAGCCGAGGAGCAAATTATCGACCGGGTGAATCTGTCGGCGTGCCTCTGAAGCCTGTAGGCGGGAATGGTGGCGGGGGAAGAGGGGAGGAAGGACAGGAGGAGGGAGTCGGGAAAGAAGCGCGCGCGGAGCTTAGCGGAGGATGGGGCTGTGGCTATGGCGGTGGCGTCACTAGGGTGACGATTGCGTACATGAGCAGCGGAGTGGAAGGCCCTCTCCTGCCTAACTCCGCGTATGCTGAACCGATCTAATACGCCCCTTACGCTGGGAGCAGGGGGAGAGGAGGAGGAGTATGGCCCCGATCGTTGCACCCTCGTGAGCGAGGGAAGGTGGATGTCATCGGTCTACTTGCCGGATCGATGCGTTCAGGGGATGTGCAAATGATGAACCTCTGCCTAAATGCTTCTCCTCCTCTCTTCCTCCCTTCCTCTTCCCCTCCTAGCTGAGAAAGCATTTTCATCCCCCTTGATTCTTTTTACCAATTCCTATTTCTTCTCCCCCTCCTTTGTCCTAATTAGTCAAGGTGGAGACGCACAGCTTCACCTAACAATACCTACGGGTATCTGGCGGACTGCGCTTGTTTTTCCTGCTGGGTTGACACGCGCGGGTGCGTCAGAGGTCAGTACGCCAAGGCGGAAGGAGGGAGGGGGGGAGGGGGGCACGGGATCGCAGACAGACACCCACCGACACACACACACACACACACACACACACAGACAGACAGACACACACACACACACACACACAGAGAGAGAGAGAGAGAGAGAGAGAGAGAGAGAGAGAGAGAGAGAGAGAGAGAGAGAGAG